GTTATGTTATCCTTCGGGAATGTGTTCAAAGTATGGGTTGTGTATTAAAATATTATGGCTTGGAGTTGTGTTTCAAATGAAAGTTATGATGCCAAATTGTGTGAGAAAAACTCGATGTGCTTAAGACTCTTAATTGCTCATATGTGTACCTAAAGTCTTAATTATAAATGCCTTATTGTTGATAATCTATAAAGATGATGGAAAGTGAAAGAAGTGGGTTGGAGATGTAAAGTGTGGCCACCTGCCAATAATAAAAGTTATACTTATGGTCAATGGTGCCAATGAAATGGAATGATATGAGAAAGGTTATGAAATGAGCCTTGATTCAACTGTTTCAAAATGACTTCGAAAATAAATTTGCCTAAAAGCTTATGTACTCAAGTCATGCCCAAATGTGGTTGTTTTAACTAATGATATGCTTTGTAAGTATTTCCAATGTGTTTTGAGTTCTTACATATTCATGAATTGAAATTGTGTATTGCTCTTTTTGGGAAAAAGTATTTCGAGAATAAATGGTGTGTTACTCGTTTATGATTTTTAACTCGCGCTTTGATTGCTAATAATTTTACTCCATTTCTTGGAAAGAAATCCATTGTGTTTAAAGTCTTCATTTCTAATGAACTTAAAATTGTGATTTCCGGAATATTCTATATGTTGATGTTTATGATGATAATCCTTGAAAGTAAAGAATGAAAGCGTGGAATATGAAATACATACGGCCATTGTGTCATGAAAGCAGAATCATATGTATGGCCAAGAGAGCCAATAAAATAATGATGTTATAAGTGGTTGAAAGTACGAATGAAGTGATATATGGTGTGAAAGGTTATAAGATGAACATATTTGTACTTTTGTTTCCAATGTGTTATAAGCTCCTACGTTCTTATGAGTAAAGGCTATGGTATTCCTAAATGTTTTAAATGCTCTTATGTTCTATGGTCACCCATGGAAAAAAAAAGTGATAGTATGAACATGAAATGTGGCCGCATTGCCAAAATGGGAATTATGGGGCATTGTATGTTCCAGTGGTTTCAATCATAGTATATATGCTTCTAAAATAATAAATGCAAATGACTTCGATGTTAAGTCCCCAAGAATCATGAACTTAACTAATGACCTTAAGATGACAAGCGAGTGAATAACGAGATGAAAGGGAGATACCCTATGCTAAATGATGATGAATCTTATGGAAAAAAAATTTGGGCCATGTGCCATTGAAATCGACTTATTGATTCACCATGCATGTGCTAGTGTAATGAGCTGTGTTTCTCCATGATGAGCATGTGAAGTATTCCAATGATCCGGGAACTCACGACCTTAAATGTAATGTTAATCATGTTGCTTTGAGTTTATATCTGGCCATGTGCATAATGATGTGCTATGAACCCTATGGACGGTCTATGAAACGCATAGGAGTAAGGTATGAATGAACCCTATGGACGGTCTATGAAATGCATAGGTATATAATATGAATGAAACCTATGGACGGTCTATGAAACGCATATGTGTATAATATTAATAAACCCTATAGACGGTCTATGAAACTCATAGGTATATAATATGAATGAATCCTATGGACGGTCTATGAAACGCATAGGTGTATAATATGAATGAATCCTATGGACGGTCTATGAAACGCATAAGTGTATAATATGAATGAATCCTATGAACGGTCTATGAAACACATATGTGTATAATATGAATAAATCCTATGGACGGTCTATGAAATGCATAGGTGTATAATATGAATGAATCCTATGGACGGTCTATGAAACGCATAAGTGTATAATATGAATGAATCCTATGAACGGTCTATGAAACACATATGTGTATAATATGAATAAATCCTATGGACGGTCTATGAAATGCATAGGTGTATAATATAAATGAATCCTATGGGTGAACACTATGGACGGTCTAGTGAGACGCATAGCCAACACGAGCAATAGGTGCCACTTTCATTGCCCTTGTTCGTACATGTTATTACATTTACATTATATTTTGTATCCCACACATAATTTATATGGCTCAATTGTTCTCAAAATAAGTTTAGAATGATGTAAGTATAATAAGACTTAAAATGTGATTCTATGAGATGTTTCACAGTTTCTTGATATACTTCATTTGCCTCTTATTTGAATTACCGTATTTTCATATGTTGTTGTCTGCCTTACATACGAGTACTATTCCACATGTACTCACGTCCCTTTTTCTCGGGGCGCTGCATCTTTTAATGGATGCAGGTATACTTCTACTAGATGATATGGATCTTCTTCACTACTCAGCTTATGGTGAGCCCGCTACAGTTCTAGTGGGTGTTTGAGTCTAGTTCGTTTTATGTACTTAGGTATCTATTATCATAGAAGCTCCATGTACACTGTGGGTCATGTACTTAAAGTTTTGAGTTTTATCATGTATTTATGTTCGCAGTATTTACAGTTATTTATAAAGCTATGTATCCATCATGATGAGAATTTTAGGCCATTGAGCCAAATGTATTCAATTTGAAAGTCAAGATCTAATTATGTTATGGTAAATCATGAATGAGTAATGATGAGAGGTTGATAAAAATTAGGCTTGCTCGACTGGGTTTACTCGGTTGAGCGTCGGTCGCGCTCCCTGAGGTCGGGGTGTGGCAATAATAGTTACTTTTTTCTGTATAACAGGATTATTAGTTACTCGTTGGATTTCTTCGGGACATTTTCCATTAAGCGATTTATATGAATCATTAATTTTACTTTCATGAAGTTTCTCCCTTATTCATAAAATTTCGTATTTCAAAAAAAAAAATTAATTTTAAGTAAAATAACTGGCCCTAGTGCTATTTTTACCCAAGGCTTTTCTACGTCAGATATTTTAACCGAAATACACCAATTTATAATATTAATACCTGCTCTTCAATCCGAGTGGTTAATAATACACGTAAGTATAATGATATCTAGCGACTACATTTTCAACGTAACACTATCAAACCAATTGCTCTTTGAGAAATCTATCATTTACCAAGATATATTGATGATAATTGAATCAAATAGTATGAATAATTTAAGTACTCAATTAAAAATCGATTATTTTTAACATGAAATAAATTCTTGTACTTAGTAAAAGAAAACTACCAATCAAATTAGAATATAAAGGCAAAGAATTAGACTATTAAAATAGCAAAGAACTAGACTAATATGTACCATAAAATATTATAAACTTTATATAAAAATATACATATATATATATATATATATATATATATATATATATATAGGTGTAATAATAAATTTAAATAGCTATTTATATAGTTGGTTTGGTTCGATTTTTTCTAGTTATTTTTTTATTAAAACCAAAACCAAACCAAATTTGATCGGTTTTTAAAATTCAAAATCAATACCAAATCGAACCTAAAAAGTATCGAGTTTTTTGGTCGATTTGGTTCGATTTTTTCTAGTTATTTTTTTATTAAAACCAAAACCAAACCAAATTTGATCGGTTTTTAAAATTCAAAATCAATACCAAATCGAACCTAAAAAGTATCGAGTTTTTTGGTCGATTTGGTTCGATTTTTCGGGTTTTTATGAACACCCCTACTGATAGTTAAAAAACTTATACAATCAAGTCATTAAAGAGATAATTATACGTAATTGCTCATGGTAAATGTAACTCTACTTAGAAAATCAAGCAGACAACATGTTATAGCAAGCAGTCTACTTGTCTTGATTAGATTTAGATACAAAATAAAGGATAATTTTGGGAAGCTAGTGCAGAGTTTTAGAATTTACAAGGTGAATATGTGACATCTTGCAGGAATATGCAATCTTTATCTACCTTAAAAAAGTCCTATATTTTCCACAGAAATAATATTACTCAGTGATTAGGGTTGGATATATAACTAGAGTGTTTACACGTAAAGCGGTATAGTTGAATTTGTAATGTGGTTTATAGACACGTGAATTAATTTGATCCTAGAATATAAAATAACTAAGAACAAAAATAAATTAATTAAAGAAACTTGAAGAAAATACAAGCCTAACTGTGAAATGAGCTTCTCCGGGAGCAATAATAAGAACAGTGTATAGAGCAATAATAAGAACAGTGTATCGAGCAGAAATAAAGAATGTTATTAATAGAATAAGAATCAGTTTAGCCTTTTTGACGTATAGATATTTCGTGTCTGTAATGAGTACAAATTCTTCTATTTATAGCTCAATTCGGGGAGACAAGATCCCCAAATCAAGCTCTTCTTTAATATGAATAAAGACTCATCTTGATGGCTGCATCACATTTGAGTATAAATGTAAAGATCCTTTGTGAGGGCTGCTCATTGAATGCTGACTTCTCCAACCGATATCTTCTTTTCAAAATTTCGTCTCCGGTTCCATCGTCTTCGGAACTCACACAACACTGGTCATATGTTCGTAACCGGTGTCGGCTATTTTCTGACTACTACCTATTGTTACTGCCACGTGTCATCTTTACGAGCATCCATCTATCATTCATCAATTTTACCTAGTACATGGAGCCTAGAGGTTGATCCATACAATTTGAGTTTGATGTGATCGATCTTTAAAATCTTAGCGTTGAACTTATTAAACTACTAGAATTATCATTTCGCACTTTAATTTTTGTTGAAATTTTTGTAAATATTATGTAGAAATATATACTCTATATGAAAAATGCTAGGTTCGCTTGAATCCACACCAAACATGTTATATCCACCACCGTACGTAGCTTCTTTTAATGCAACTAAATATTGGTAATCATTCGTACTACAAAGATATTCTGGCCATAACATAAAAGCACAGTTCGAAGCCATGCGGCATAAAAATGTTTCTCGTCTTGAGTAACCTGTGACATGACCAAATAAAAGTTGCACTCTTTTAGCTGAACTCCACGAGAAACCCATAGCTCCAACTACTGGCAATTATGACAACTACTAAACTTTTTAACCATACTCGCACAAATGTTCAACTTTTCTCATGTCATAACTTTTATCTTCATTGTTATAGATGTAGTATCTTGAGATCTTAAAAATTACATGGAAAAACAACTAGAAGAGAAAGAAAAATGCTCAGGAAAATTAGATTTGAGTGCTCCTCTCTTGTCAACTAGGCGTGCTAGTGAAAAGCCATTGTCTAGCTCAAATATCCCACCTCAACTTTCATTGGAAATTTTTAACAGAGTGCCATTTTCTTGGGAGCAAAGTCCTGGAAAACCAAAAGAAATGTTAACAAACATTGAAATTGTACCACCTCCAAAATTACCACCATGCATGTGGCATACAAGAAAAGAAGCTATAACAAGTACTAAAGTCTACGATGAGGTCTATATTGACAACGATGATCATGACGATGATAACGATGTTAGAAATGACAACCATGATGTTTTCTCAGATGCTCTTGATGTTTTTTCATTAGGGGAGTCGATAGACGACATGATTGAAACAGAACATAGAAAATCAAATACTTCAACAAATATGGAGGTAGTCGAGGAGTCGTACGATTGGAGTACTAATAATAGGCCATCGGTACCAAATTTCATTATTCAGAGATTTCTTCAAGATGCAAAGGAACTAGCTATTTCATCTGCTTTGGAAAATAATAGGAAGAATTTATTAGAAGATGAAGAAATTGGTAGTAACAAATTGCCCAAGGCAGCATCATGTGGGCTTGACATGTTTTTTCCATGGAGGATTAAGCCTAAGCCCTGTTGTGTGAAGAATTCAGTAGTGGCAGTTTCTCCAAGAATGAGACCTCAATGGAGCAACAGAGACAAGCATGCATCACATGCCGATCCAAAATTTTAATCGTACATGTATTAGAGGAGAATTCAAGATTTAGAGTCAATATGTTCAAAATGGTCGTGATTTGTTATGTATTTATATTTTAACTTTTTTGGATATCTATAAGTGACTCGAGCTGAAAGTAGCGGATTCAATTGAACTCACCCGAGATTTGCCTATAACGTGTAGGAGCTCCATCGATGAATCATTCCTTCTTTTGTAAGTACTACCGTACCACTACGTCTTTTATGACAATGTATCGACTAAATATAAATATGAAGTACTATTTTCGCAGAATATTTAACCATTTATATATATATATATATATATATATATATATATATATATATATATATATATATATATATATATATATATATATATATATTCAAAGCATTGTAAATGATCATTGGTATGCATAATGCATGAAGGTTATTAGAAAGCTGCAAGTCTTGGAAATGGATATGGTTAGTTATGTTGTGTATTACTCTGTTGTCACGACCCTAGTTTTTCTCCGTATGATGTCGTGATATTACCTAATCTCTAAGATTAGGTAAGCCTAATACTTACTGAATCAAATGACAGAATTTAATCAAAACAACCATTAAACATAACTCTATATAAAGCCAACAATCCCAACACGATACAATATCCCAAACCGGTAGTATAAGTCATAAGCTTTTCTAAGAGTAACTAGAAATAACGAGTACATCACTGTCCCGGAACAATAGTAGACAGTGGGAATAAAATATAACAGAAGGTGATTTCGGGGCTTGCGAACGTCGAGTAGGTATACCTTGAAGTCTCCAGCCGCGCAGGCATAAGTCTCAACCCAACTTGATCAAAAGTATCCAGATCTGCACAAAAATGTGCAGAAGCGTAGCACGAGTACACCACAGCGGTACCCAGTAAGTATCAAATCCAACTTTAGTAGAGTAGTGACGAGGCCAGGTCAAGACACTTACCTGACATGTAAACTTGTGCAGGATATAATATAAAGCTAACAAGGGAAAGGACGTCAATGTAACACCAACAGCAGAAGGATCATAAATTTACAATCAACAGTGAAAATAATAGGAGCACGAATGGCAACAAGAAATAACCAGGTAATAAAGCAACAACACAGTTAGGATACAGATGAAATATGAATGAATTCAAGTAAGGGGAACCGATGACAACTCAATCAATCAAATCGTTCCTAATGCACAAGTTACAACAAGAACTACCCGATGTACCACTCTTCGTAAATCGCAATTCATAAGTCACAACTTCCAAATCTTACAAGTATGGCACCTCGTGCCTATATTTTTCCAAATCACTTCCGCACGGCAAGGTCCACGTGCTATCATGTACATCGTATCCGTATCAATTGCTAAATAAAATGTTCGAGAGATTTATTTATATACGATAAATCATAATAATAAATCTTGAATAAAGTGGGGAATCAAATGAGAAAATGAGTTTATTTTAAAAATTATTTAGGTAAAGAAAATGGCATTTTCAAATAAAATGAAACATTGGATAAGTTAAAGAATCAAATATAGGATTTGTTAAAATAAAACATAATAACGATTTTTAAGTAAAGTAAAAACATTAGATAGGGTAAGGAGTTTAATTTGAGAAATCAATTAAAATAAAATATGACAACTATTAAGAATAGTAAAGTACCGAGTGAAACGACGAGTTCCAACTTAAGAGGCACGTAAGGTAAGCATGTTAAAAATTCTTTTACTTAAAATTGTTATTTTACTAACAACTCAACAGGGTACGAGATAATGACTCTACGTAGTAAGTTCATCTTGAAAATCCACCAAGTAACCACAGAAGCATAAATTGACACATTGAAGTAATACAACAATACACGTAGGATGCATGACTCACACAAGACACAACAACAACAACAACAACAACAACAAAAAGTCCAACAAGTACAACACACACAATCTGTTGCGACGCGCAACCCGATTCTACCGTATCATCATTTATCAATATTATAATCCTCCCTTATTCAACCATAATATCATTAATCAATATCAAGCCTTCACGTATACAATCTGTTTTGGTGCGTAACCTGATCTCACCGTATCATCATTTATCAATATCATAATCCTCCCTTATTTCACCATATTGTGAGTACCTAACTTTTGACTATATTTAAATTTTTACCACCTTCTACTATGTAAATATTTATAGAAATTTAATATATATATATTTTTAGCTTTGTTACATTTTTTTTATATAGGGTAAGAATTAAAAATAATTTAAAAGGTCAAATTATTACTATTAGTATTATTTTTATTTTTTATCTTTATTTTTAAATAAAATAAATTTTAAAAAAAAAGAAATATTTTTTTTAAATTTTCGGATGGGAATAAAATAATAGAAAAATTAAAAGTATGGAATAAAAAAATAAAAGTAAAAGTAGGTGGAAATTACTTTTTAAAAAAAGTAAAAGAAAGTGAAAAATTAAAAAAATAAATATAAAAGAATGTGGAAATTTAAAAAAATGAAAAGTAAAAGAAAGATGAAATTAAAAAATAAAATTAAATGTAGCTGAAAATTTTAAAAAATAAAAGTAAAAGAAAGTAAAAATTTAAAAAAGAAAAGTAAAATAAGTGAAAATTTAAAAAGGAAAAGTAAAATAAGTGAAAAATAAAAAAATTAAAGTAAACAAAGTGGTAAATTAAAAAATAAAATTAAAGGAAAGTGGAGAATTATTTTGTTTAAAAAAATAAGAAAAATGGAAAGTGGGAATTCTTTTTAATTAAAAAAATAATAAAATAAATTTTAACAAATTCCGATTTTTTTCCCTATAAATAGAAGAGAAATGTGAGGAGAGAGGGGAAGGGAGAAGGAGAAAATAAGGGAGGAGGAAATTGAGAGAAATTTTTTTTCTTCTTCTACGCTAAGGAAATTTCTACTCATGTCATTTTTTCTTCGTCTTTCATTCGAAAAATCCAGCAAGTCATCACCCAAATCCCAACAAAAATACTTCATAACATCCATTTTTACACGCCAAAAAGTGAAGTCAATATTCGAGGTCGAGGATTCCGTTGGAGCTCCGTTCAGTAGGTTTGATGTTATTCGTCGCTTATGCTTGTTCTACGTTCGTTTGAGTTATTGTACTTGTTCTTGGAGACTCGTTTAATTGAAAATTTTGCATTAAAGGTTTATTCTTCCCTCTGTTATTTTTATATTATTTCATGTGATTTTATTTATTTGCCTTTAAACTTTATAAATAATAATGTAAGTTAGTCCTTAAATGTTATATGCTTAATCATGTTTTTTGGAAATATGGTATTCAAACTTGCTTTAAAGTTGGGAAGATTTGGACCCTAATGAGTTTGGGCTTCAATTGTTGGGTTGTAGGGTATTGGTATATGATGGTTTATTTATTCAAATATCTAAAATCATACACTTCTTTCACAAGTAATTCCATAATTCATGGCCTTCACAACAATCTCAAACTTAAGAAAGAAACAAATCATGAATGCGCTAGAATGTTTTAGGCGTACTCTTAATTAATTGAATCATCGTGATTATGTATACGTTCGCGTGACATAATTACGATTCCCAAAACTAAAATCAAGGTATGCGTTTGTGCAACTTTGGGCGAAACAACCTTAAATATAATAAAACTACTATTAATTACGTGCACGTACACATGACATAATTTTGGCACAATAAACAAAACGGATTCACACACGTGATTCGTTTCAAAGATAATTCTATATTTTAATATAAAAGAGGATAGATAAAATATGGAAACCAATAAATCACAGTTTATCTAAAATTAATTCAAGCCAAGTTATAGTCAATAAAGCGACCGTGCTAGAACCACGGGACTCGGAGAATGCCTTACACCTACTCTCCGGTCAGCAGAATTCCTTACCCGGACTTTATTTTCGCAGACTAATAATAAAAACCTTCATTTGACTAGGGATTCAAATAAAAGGTGACTTGGAACACCCGAAAAATCAATTCCAAGTGGCGACTCTGTAAATAAAATAATCCCTATTCAAATTTGTCACTTTAATTGGAAAAACTCTTTAATCCACAACAATCCCATAACATATATATCTTTTGGGAAAAAAAGAGGTGTGACAACTCTGGCGACTCTGCTGGGGAAAAGAACCCAGAATCTCTGATTCACGGTTCAGAATTCGAGCTTGTAATATGATCTATACTAGGCTTTCTTGATTGCTGATATTACTGTATTTGTGGGCCTAATGTGCTAATTGCTGCTGATTTACTGCTTTGATATTATTTGAACTGTATAAACTGCCTTCTTACGCTTCCCTTTCGAGTCTTCGGAATTTATGGTGCACACGTGCGTGTAGCCCACTTTTCTGTTAGAGGTCATACCAAATAGAACGTGTCTGGATCAGTAACTAGGTCGGGTAGACTTTCGTGCTCCCGGTACGTTGCCCCCACCTCGGCGCGAGCTGTCCGCTTGGGTAAGCCAGGTCTAAAACACACCCCTAGGATTTAAACCTAGAATAACATAGCCTCATGCCAGATCCCTAGTAGGAATGTTTGTTTGCATCACGTGCATTTGACTTTGGGGACTCAACATAGGGGTTGGGTCCGTCTAGGATAGTTGTACCCAAAATAAAAGATCATCCTAATGCATCCTACGTGCTACTTGTCCATTTTGTTTGATCTGGTTTGCATGTTGAAAGGCTTATAGAATAAGAACAGAAAATTAAGAAAAGCAGGAGTGAGAGATAGGAGAGAGAAAATTTATCCGGTTTTCAAAAATTACGGTATTTGAAAAATCCCGAAACTTTGCCCAAATTTTGAAAAAAAAGAAGGCATTTCAAATTGAGCCAAAATTTTCAAGTGTTATATTTCCCCTATTCTGTCAAAATGGACCGAATTACGCGGGTCTGATTCTCACCGGATGTGAGATACGTAGGCAAACCTCATCGGTTCCGGCCCCAAATGTTCAAAAATTCAAAACTAATTTCCTTCCACTTCCTTCTTTAGAAGTCTTTCTTTGAGACGTCAAATCCAAAAATAATTTCTTCCTTTATAAAAAGTCTTTCTCCAAATTGTTTTTTAAAAAAAAATCAAAATTCAATAAATATTTTCTTTCTTTTGAAAATTATCAAAAAAAAATTTAAAAATATTTTCTTTCTTGTTTAGAAGTCTTTCCTTCGAAAATTTCGAATAAAAAAAGAGAGAAAATTCAAAATCCAAAATATTTTCCTTTTTAGGAGTTTTTGTGGTATGATTTTAAAAAAAAAAGATTGATAAATAAATTAGAAAAAGAGTTAGCTTATTTACTTTAT